AAAAAAATATTGTATGGAATGACCCATATGTATGTTATCGCATAACTTTGAACCACATTAAGCGATTTCTATAAATCTTGTTTTAAAGGTAGTACCTCAGAGGTGGTCCGGTACTAATTCAGTTTAGATGCGATCATTTGATAATGAAGAAATTACGGGAATCTCAAATTTTAACATAAGGATGGAAGTCGGTTTTGTTCTTGCTCAAAAATTACTTGTATTAACCCACATGCAATAAGAACCCACATTGGATTTATAATGCGTGGTCATATTTATTGTAATTTTGTTTTTATTTTTTATTGTTAAAAAAAGTACAATAAATACAAATTTGACGTTTTTTGGCCGAAATAACGATTTTTTTTGGGTTATTTGACGAAAGCCTTCGGCAACGATGCTAACGACTTCTGCAGACTGCATCACACTCGGTGAAGATGTCTCGCTGGTAGAGTCGCAGAATCGGCAAAGGTCATGGTCATTGATGAGCCAAAAAAATAAGGTTAAATAAACTTTGGAATCTCCTTTGGCTATACCCTCCCAGTAAATTCTTTGCCTGACGCGTTCCTGACGAACTATGCCAGTTTACATCTTTCATAGTGTTCCTCTCCCTCCTCAGCTATTCCTTTAAAGTGCTTGGACCCGCTCCTAGGATTAGTTCGGGGCCAACTGGAGTGATGGCTGCCCTTCTCTCATGATTGTCTCCGCACATACATAAATGATGGCGTAAACTTCTGCTTGAGAGATGCTCGGTTATTTTCCCAGAGATCCGACGATTCCAGCCCCTATTTCTTCTGGCGAATTCGAGCCATCTGTGTACCAGTGCGGTTCTGCATAGACTACCGGAAACTAAACGATGTGACGAAAAAGGACAGCTATCCTCTTCCCAGGATCGATGACACTCTGGACTCGTTGACTGGAACAAAGTGGTTCTCAACACTCGATCTTAATAGCGGTTATTGGCAAGTGGAGGTAAGTGACGAGGACAAGGAGAAGACAGCTTTCAGCGTTGGAGATGGTCTTTGGCAATTCACGGTGATGGCCTTTGGATTATGCAACGCTCCTGCCACTTTTGAAAGACTTATGGACCATGTGCTTAAGGGATTGCATTGGAAAACATGTTTGGTGTATCTAGACGACATTATCGTATTGGGTAAAAGTTTTGAGGAACACCTGAACAATTTGGAAGAAGTTTTCCAGAGGATAGCTGGCGCTGGTCTGAAGCTAAGTCATGAAAAGTGCTCACTGTTCAAGAAGGAGGTGAACTACTTTCGACACAAGGTGACAACGGAGGGCGTCTGTACTGCGAAGGAAAATATAGAAGCAGTAAAGGATTGGCCAAGACCTAGGAACCTGCACGAACTACTAAGTTTCCTTGGGCTATGCACCTACTACCGCCGATTTGTTCCGAATTTCGCTAGCGTTGCTAATAGCCTTCATGAGCTCACTAGGAAGAATAGAGCCTTCGAGAGGAGCAAAGAACAGGAGGAGGCTTTCCAAGCTCTGAAGCAACGGCTATGTACTGCACCTATGCTAGCGTATCCCGTTCAAGGTGCAACGTTTAGTTTGGATACGGATGCTAGTGGTTATGCCATAGGAGGCGTACTCTCGCAGGTAATTGATGGGCAGGAGAAGGTAGTTGCCTACTATAGCCGGTCGATTGGAAAACCAGAGAGGAACTACTGCGTAACTCGGAGAGAACTATTAGCGTTGGTGGAGAGCGTCAAACATTTCCACAAGTACCTCTATGGGCCCATAATGGCCTGTTTTTGCTTAAGGCCTGTATGCAGCTCTCAAGAAAAGCAAAAACTCCATATAAAATGACGTACAAGAAATGGCTAAGAAATTTCCTTAAGGCAGTACGCAGTTCTTAAGAAATTTACTACGCTTTCTACTACGGTTTTCTAAAGTTTTTTTTGTGAAAAAAGAGCACAAGGCAACCCAGGTTTGCAACAGAAACATATGCCCGTTCCATTATTTTTTGAGGAAAGCAACAGGCTGTGAGGTATCAAAAATGTCAAAATTCCTTGGACACAAACGCGAAATAATGGCAATTTTTTCTTGACCGTTTTCTTGAGAGCTGCATACAGGGCTTAAATGCTACTCTAAATGTACATTTATCCATACAAAAATCGTCACCTAAATGCAACTCCATTTTTGCATTAAGAATCTAAATGCTAAAAACAACCCTGTGATCTTCCAAAATTTCCACGATTCGAACATAGTTTAATGATAAAAAGTGGCAACATTGCTTTTTCGCGTATACAGTGGCTAGCTGCGTTTCAGTGATCGCCGATCGAGATTTCATTTATTATTTTATAGTATTTGGATAAAGAAAAATTACGCAAACTCAACATCGATGTGATGCTGATAGAAATCTGGATCAATTTTTGATCAACTCTGTTTGTTTGTTTTGTTTCCTAATTAAGTGAGGAAATTTTAATTGACAGCAGCGACAAATGAATACATACACAAACAAATTTTTGGTTATGGTTAAAACAATTCAAGTTTTTGTATTGAATTTTTGGGTTAAAATTTATTTTTTCCTTTTCAGTAAGGTTTTTGCACATTATCTTCTGCGTGAGAATTGTTCGTAATAGATACGGATCTGAATAAGCGACTGGAACACGGCTGTGTGTTAAAAGCATACGATTTCGAACTCGCGTAAATGTACATTTGCTAAATGCGATAGCATGAACGCTTTTCGAAAACTTATGTTCGAAAGTGCTAAATATTGCATTTTAAATGCAGCAAAAACGCTGCATTACTCTGCATATGTCTAAATGTATGCAACCATTTGCAATAGCACAGGGCACTTCTAATGAAATTAAAAATTTACTGCTGCAATACACATGCTTAAGGTCTGATTATGCATACTTCGCATAACTTCGCACAACCATTTGTACCAGTGCAATAAAAATGTAACTTAAGAAAATATGAAGCAAAATCTAAACTAAACAGATCGCTAAGTTTTGAAAAATTCCACTAATTTCTGGGTAATGGAGTACATAAAAAATACATACAAAGAACATACGAAATTACAATTTGCAGGTTATGGGAAGTTGTGCGAAGTTATGCGAAGCATGCATAATCAGACCATTAGCCCTTCGAAACTTTCTGCTGGGCTATGCGTTACAGCTTCGCAAATTTGATTACATGTCTAAATAACACAGGTCAACTCACCACACACAAACTCCTTTGAACTTCGGACAAAAACCTGTGAAACTGTCAAACTACAATTTTACTCTCTCAACTGAGAGTAAAATGATAACAGATGCCGAAGTGCACGGGAACGCAAAAAGCACTATTTCCTGTAAAAACGTCAGACGGCTAGTTTACATGTCATTGGTACTACACTGATTTGGCTGAAATATCACTAAATAATTATTAAAATCTATACATATTCAAATATTTCGTTGTTTACTTCCAGTTTTTAACAGATATAAGGTTCTTTGCTTTTACCGCTTTCTGTTTTTGTTTGCACATGTAAATCAGCTGATCGTTTGACACTTTTCATGAACTTACAGGAAAAACAACTCCGGACTAAATCCTGTAACTTCTGACTAGGAACAGTTGCTCAGTTACTCCCTCAAATGTGTTCCCACTTACAGGTTTTATGTCAATAGGAACGACTCCCTGTAAGTTCTGACTAAATCCTGTAAACCGGACTGCTATTGGAGCAGACTATTTAATAGAAATGACAGAAATTGTAAAAGAGCAAATGAGATAAAACAAGTGATCTCAGCTGTAGGCATTTTTCGGCAATCAGCTGACAGTGTGTTTACTTAAGAATCTGTTACGATGATTCTTATTTTTGAATGACGTTTACTCCTTTATTTATAATCAAAATTCAAAAATTTCCATGGTGTCTGAATAATTCCAATATTGAATAACTGGTTTTATTAAACTTTCTAAATACATTGATACCATTTTTTGCAGTTATTGAAAGAAAATTACTTAGCAAGATAGAAATTTGGATTTTACAACTACTTACAAAACAATTTAATAAATATGTAAAATTTTAATTGAATATGCCACGTTAAATGCGTTTCAACAGATATCTATGAGATATTTTAAGTATCATACATAATTCCCGAACCTTAATAATGGAAAACGGTTTTTAATAAAATTTGTTCTACACTGCGTATAACTCCAATACGTACATACATACATATATTGTATTTGTAGGTTTGTAGCTATGGAATAAAAATGTGACCGGTACTGCAAAACTCATTAATAAATAAGCATACATACAGGAAAGCTACTGTTTTAATTTAGACAAAATACAAGGTGTTTTGAAAAACTGACTCTTGGTTTTTGTGAATTACATATAAGTATATTACCCCTATTGCGAGTGTCGACTAGTAGTAGATAAACCATGAATTAATTAGAACAGATTTGACCGGTTGATGAGTAGCCATTTGCAATAGCATTTGAGAAAATGTGCGTGGCGATTGTGATTTTGAACTTTGCTATTTCTGTTTTGGTTTTTACATCTCTTTATGTGTATTTTGTGCTTTATTTCAGTGATTTTCAAGCGATTTTCAATCATTTTTTGTTCAAATACAAAATTCACAAAAATAATGAATTGGTTAGCACAAACATGCGCTCAAAACTGCTTTAATATTTTGTTTACTTTTACCGAAATTACAAACGTAAGCCAGGAAATTACTATTTTCTTTTGCTTCATCTTGTGTAGTTGGACCACGAAGATATACGACTCTCATTCGATTATCGCTTTTCCATGGTATTGTGAATGTCGACTTCTCGTTCAATAAGTGTCTGCGAAAAGTTTTTAATCCCTCATCCTTCTACAGCTGTTTGTTTGTAGAAGGATGAGCGACTATAAACTATTCTCAATCACTTATTGAATCAGAAAACCGACTTTGAAAATACCACGGATAGTCGATAATCGACTAACAGTCGTTTATCTACACTAGTCGACACTCGCAATAGGTGTATAGGTATATCTTTTTGCATTGAGACAAATGTGGCATTTTACTAATTCTAACCCGCAACTTCGCGCTATTTATTCCGTTTTGTAATTTGTAATCAATAATTATACCTTACTGAATAAGATACGGTATTAAGTTACTCAACTTTCAGAAGTTCTACATCAAAGGTTAAGGTGGCATTGGGTGGAATAACGCCAGGATGTCCTCGACTTCCATATGCATAGTCCGGAGAGCAGATAAGTTTAGCGCGCTGGCCTACAGACAGCTGGGCAACACCTTCGTCCCAACCACGAATTACTTCACCTTTACCAAGTGTGAACTTGAATGGTTTATTACGGTCGCGCGAAGAGTCAAATTTAGTGCCGTCATCCAAAGTACCAGTATAATGTACAGAGACCACCTGTCCAGTTTTGGGGAATGTGCTTCCTATTTTCGTGTTAAAAGCATACATATACACAGCGGAGTGGCAAAAAAGGTTAGAATGAGTCGAATATTTGTAATCAAACCATTTATACTTACCATCCCCGGAAGAAATAGGTACTACTTGCACGCCCATTTTAGTAAATAAGTTTTCTTTTACAGGTTAAAAGCGCAGATATCTACTCGAAAAATTTACTCTCAATTCTCGTCTAACAGCGGCGGTGAAAAAATGAGAATGCAGAAAATTCTTGTAGAGAAATTACGGAAACCACCAACATGGCGTATAAGCACGACATTACCATATGGAAAAATTTAACAGTACAGGGTGTTACTAATGGCGAATTTTGATTGCTAAAGGTAGAACTTCATATCAAGCTTTACGGGCATTGTCTTCAGCTAACTTAAGAGTTACACGATCAAGAAGGGTGGGCTTAAGTAGTCGGCCGCACCTTGTGTTTAAAGAAAACCAGGTGGAATCAACAATTGAAACTTAGTCAGGATGTTAAGGGAGGTATCCTCTAAAACATGTATAACTAAAAAAATATAAACAATATAACTGTATATAAGTTATTTGTTGTTAAAATTTCTTAAGACGTTCCACTTGATTTCCTTATCAAATAGTGCATTTGTCACATACTTTCATATATATAAATGCACATAACACTACCTAATAGTTCACACACTTCTATTTTATTTTATCTTGTATATAAATCACTTTAATCCAACTTTTATTAACTTGTAATTACATTACATTGCACCCATATTTACAATCATGATACAATAACACATGGTTGCAAACTGACACATGAGATGTGTTGCCATACCGTACAAAACAATACAATAGAAAGAACTCTACGTAGTGAAGGTTATAATCCCTAAGTGCGGCCGCAGGCCGCCTACGCAGAAAGGTGTTCTCTGCAAAAGGTGTTCCGCCCCCTCTTTTCGGCAACACAGAAAGGAGAATTCTACGTAGTGAAGGTTATAATCCCTAAGTGCGGCCGAAGGCGGCCTACGCAGAAAGGTGTTCTCTGCAAAAGGTGCTGAGCCCCTCTTCTTTGGCAACACAGAAAGGAGAATTCTACGTAGTGAGGGTTATAATCCCTAAGTGCGGCCGAAGACCGCCTACGCAGAAAGGTGTTCTCTGCAAAAGGTGTTCAGCCCTTCTTCTTTGGCAACACAGAAAGGAGAATTCTACGTAGTGAGAGTTATAATCCCTAAGTGCGGAAGAAGGCCGCAGACGCAGAAAGGTGTTATCTGCAAAATGTGTTCAGCCCCCCCTTCTTCGGCAACACAGAATGGAGAATTCTACTAAGTGAAAATTCCGTATTAAAAATCCGCTATTATTCAAAATTTCAGTCTGGCAGCACCAAGTTTTATGTTATTTTGCTATCTTCAAGGCACATTAAACAGGTAGTATCAGTAGAGCAAAATCAACATTTGCGTGTATTTTGTTGTTGCTTCTGGTATCGAAAGTGTCAACAACTGTTCTGAATTTTTTCTTCTAAATCAAAGCGTGCCATGTGAAATACAAAAAATTATAAAAAATAAAAAATTGAAATTGGAAAAAATAAAATTGATGCAACTTTCTTTCCTAGTAAATTTGTTTGCTTCTCGAAGCATTGATCCATCCTTTGCAAGGCCCAGTAATCAGCGGT